GGCGATCAGGGTTCGATTCCTGGTCAGGGCACATGCCCGGGTTGTGGGCTCGATCAATGACTCTCTCATCATTGATGTTTCCATCTCTCTTTCTCCCTCTCCTTTCCTCTCTCTGAAGTCAATAAAGATATATTTTAAAAAATAATAATAATAAAATAAAATAAAAATCAATAAAAACATATCCTCAAGTGAGAATTAAATATATATATATATACACACCCACACATATATATGTGGTGTCCCAAAAAATGTATACATACTTTAACGGCTGAGTTTTATTACATTTTAAAAATGAAATGTATTTTAATAAACACTGCCTTTATAATTATTCAAAGTGTGTATACATTTTGGGGGGACACCGTATATATAGGAGAAATATAATAACCAGTGAAATAAAGTCCTAGGAAAGGTTGATGGGGTTCGATCTGAGAGCACAGGATTAGCTTTGATCAAGATTTCTCTGTTTTAGGAGGAAAAAAAGATAAGTGTGGTCACAAAATACAGATTTTTATAGGTTATATAAGCAGAAAGTTTAACATTTACATGATTGACCTTATGAAATACGAGGTCAAGCTATATGCTCCTAAGAAATTTTTATTAGAAATTACTCCACCTAGCATTTGAGTGCTTAATATATGCTGTGAAACATTGAGTTTAAAAAAACAGTATGTCACTTAATTTCATCCTATAACTCTGTGAGGAAGCTGTACCATCACTACTTAATCCAAGAAAGCAAGGCTTAATGAGCTTAACCTGTCTAAGGTCACGGGAACATTAAGTATTTTATCGAAACCAGTCATCATGTGAACCTAGCTAGTTCTTACTCCAGGCACCGATGTTCTTAACCACAGTTGTGGTGAGTTAGGGACGTTGAGAAAAATGGTGAGCATTTGGTAGAAGAGAACAGAGAGATTATTATAGACAGGTAAAGGAACTGTAGGTTGGCACTGGGTGCAACCATAGCGGGAGACCATAAATCTGTGTTGGCACATGTCTGCACAACTGGGTTATTCTTAGCAGCAGTTAGCAGCCTAAGTGAGTGATTATATAAGGGAGAATTGGGGTGGAAATTTTTTAGTTCCAGACTGGGTGAATGAGAATATTAAGGCATAGCCTAAAGGCATAGCCTAGCAAAAATTCCTGAACTCTAAGGATAAAAAGAAACCCCTATGGGACCTCTATACAGAAAATATAAGAAAAGACTGGCTTTAGACATTTGTAAAACTGGAAGGTAGAAGACAGTAGAACAGCATCTACAGACCAGTGAGTGGAAAGGGAATGCAACCAGGAGTTCTATACCCAGCTCTATACATGTCAAAGAAAATGAAAGGTGTTTGAAAATAAGAACTCGAGTATATATCACCCACCTGAGAAAAATACTTGAAAGAAGAGAAAATAACAGAGGGATGAGAAAAGGGGACCACAGGATGGAGAAAAGATAGAAAGTAGGGAAGCAATGAAACATGGACACAGTTAGATCTAATGTGTAATGTAAGTGCAAAATAAGGATTCTGCTAGTAGAAAATACATAATACAAGATAATTTTAATAAGACTGCAGAGTAAAACACACTAAACTATTTCAGCAAAATTTAGAATTAATGGGAAGGGGCAGGAAGGAATCGAAACCATTTTTAAAAGTTTTATCTTGTTGATGTAGAAAGGCAGTAGAGAAATAGAGCATTTGGGTCAGGGAAAGAACCTTTTAAGTTTCCATCTTGTGTAACTAAACCAGATAAAGAACATTTTAAAATAATAAATAGCACATAGCTATAAGGAAGGTAACTGTCATAAACCTAAATACACAAACAACATAGCAACTAAAATGTAAGACAAAATTATTAGAAATACAAGGGAAACTTCAAATATGATAAAGTGGAAGAGAGAGATTAATATACTCGTCTCAATAGGATGAAGTGGAGGAAAAATAATGTAATGGAGGAATCGAATCAGTAAACTTAAATATAAATATATACTCATCCCTCAAAGAATAAACTTAATTGGAAGTTTGTGGAACATTAACAAAGTCAAAGATGTAGTTGGAAAACCCTAACAAATGGACCTTCTTAACAAATTTTGAGGAAATAAAATTGGTTTTATATACCACATTCTCTGGTCACAAGCCAATAAAATTAAAAATATGTAACGATAAAACGTTAGGTGCTATAAATTTGAGAAACACATTCTTTGGCATGACTAAGATCAAAGAAGAAATCAAAAGCTAAAACTGCAAACCCTCTGGAGAATAATAACATACTCTTCATTTTCAAACTATGTGTAACCTGCACCCAGAGCAGAAAAAGTACAGCCTTAAGTTTTCTTAATGAAAGAAGTATGAAAATCAAAAGAACTAAGTAATCCTCTTAAATTCAAACAAGAAAAATTAACCAAAAGAAGCTGATGAGAAGGAATTCAGATAAAAGCCCAAATCACGGACCTCGCACATCAGAAATGGTGCCTACAAATTTCTAGGCTGATCGCTGTGCAAACTCAAGTGTCCGGTGTGTTGGAGACCCGTGTGTCTGGAAATGGAAGTAGCCTAGCAATTCGGTGCAGGTGACTGTGACCCTGGCCGTTTATCCCCGCTCAGATCCCTGTCTGGAACCAAGTGGGTCAGGAGAGTGGGCGGCCTGCTCCGCAGGGTTGTGACAGGTGACCCTGGGCTGCAGGGGATGTCGCAGGCCGGCTGCCTCGGCAGGCGCTCCGGCTCCGAAACAGCTCCCCCTGGGAGATTTGCGAGTCTTCGGAATGCTAAGTCACTAATCAACATCTCATTTAGAAAAGAGGAGCCCCCAATACATAAGTAGATTGCAGCTTTATGCATTAAAGGTAGTTCTGGAGGAACAGATACGTGTAAATATATTGTATCTTATTTGAAGATTTCCTTTTGTCTCCTTTATTCATCACACCTCTGGAGGAATGGTTGTTGTCAGGAGCAGCTGTGTATCTCCGAGGCTTAATAAAACAGACTCGTTGCAATCTTAAAGTACAAATGTCATCCTTTAGTATTTATAAATGTGGGCAACCTTTATGTTGCCGTTGGTACTTACTGTGTGTTTCAGACGGTCCTACCTTTGTCTCGGCACCGTCGCTGACGCCGATCATTAGGGATGAACAGCTGCTGTTTATTTCTGACTCAGTTTGAAAGGATGGCAATAGGACATCCGAATTATTGCTTCATTTGTGGAGGGGGTGGGGCAGAGGAGGAGGTGCGGGAGAGTCTAATTGTATTTTTTGAAAATTTATAAAACTATTCTGTGGTGACAGGCAATGTCTTCCTTTAGACCTTTACTATTAATTAGAAAGTGAGGTGCACGCACATGTGGTGTGTGTATGTGTCTGTGTGTCTGTGTACATGCTCATGTGTGTGCTTTTTACAGAAGTGCAGGTTTAGCATCCTATCTGATAAAATACAGGAAGGGGGAAGAAAGGACTTTAAACACTAAAAAACATCTCATAACAGTTTGTAATATTTACTATATTTACATTGGGTTTGAGGTTTTTTTATTCTGATGGACCCAGGAAAATTACTAGATAGAACAATAATAATAATAATAATAACCACCACCCAGGAAAACTTCTAGATAGAATAAAATCAACAACAACAATAATAATTATAATAATAGTAGAATCAAATTTGTTTTAAATTCTTATTATTCTACTGGTTGGGTTTTTAAAGTTATATTTGGAGGGAAGCCACATAAAATAACCTTTATAAATTCTATAAATTGTGTATATAGATCATGCCCAAAGATAAAACTGCATCTATACACGACACTTCCTTTTTATGTAATTTTACTCATTTTTCAAATTTATGATAATACAGCTAAGCTTTCTCCTGATTATTAAATTGATTTTCCTCTTGTCTTTCAGAGAACAGCTAGAGAAATCATTTCGTTTCACTGCTCATTTTTCTTTTACTATTAGCCTCAAAAGAAAATTGCCAGGAAATGTAATCTTTAGAGCAAAGAAAACAGTGGCCTGGTTTTCCGTTCTGTTGATGGGTATCTGCGAGCTTTTGTATTTGTCCATTTATTCCTGAAACCACATCACCCTACTCATGTGTACCTAGCTTCGCTTCAAATCACTACAGAACGTCTGTGATAGATATGTTATCTTTGGCCTTCTTTAGCTGTTTCCCTGAATTATGATATTTCAGCTTTTTACAAAGTGCCCCTTACATAAAGTGTATTTTCTCATTCCGGGCACACTTTTCAAACAACAGCATGTCTTACGACATTTACGAAGAAGCAAAGGGTTGTCTTTACTCGCCATTCATTTCACTTTTTTCACACACCACCATGAATGTTCTAAAACTTTTCCTTGTATTTTTACATTTTATAAAGATGGGAAATCTGAGCATGATCTCTTTGTTTCTTTTGTATCCACCTCCAGGATGAATATAAGCCAGAAAAGTCTCTGTCTGAGGAGGACTTGAAAAATGCAGTGAGTGTGCACCACGCACTGGCGTCCAAGGCCACGGACTACGAGAAGAAGCCGAACGTGCTGAAGCTGAAAACCGCCGACTGGAGGGTCTTGCTCTTTCAAGCCCAGTATGTTTCGTTGGTTTGGTGTCTTCTTGTTTCTTAGTTTGCATAGCACCGCTTTATACCAAGAAAGAGAATCAGGGTTTGCAGGGAAAGTGTTTTGAGTTGGAGTCAAAGTCATTGGTTACACTGCAGAGACAGCTAGCTGCCTAAGAAAACTAGAGTAAGAGGTAGAAACCCCGGGTTCCAATTTTTTGTTTGCTGCAAAGTAGCCCTGTGACTTTTAGCCTCTTACCATCTCTAGAACTCCAGATCCTCATGAGTAAAACACAAGGGTTTTAGTAGGCAAGGCCTATTGCACCTTGAGTAAGAGAAACTTGGGTTCCAGTTACCATTTCCTGGCTCTTTGTCCTAGCATGTCATTTAGCCTCTTGGAACCTCAGCTTGTCACTGGTGTGGATAATATGGTGTGTCTCATCGGGCTCTTGTGAGACTCGAATGAGGTACAGTATGTAAAGTACCTCACCCAGTGCCTGGCACATGGAAACTGTTGAATAATGAGTGTAGATTTCCATTCACTCTCTTTCTCTCTCCTCTCCTGAGCTCCAATCCTTGATTAAACTAGAAGAAAAAGAGAAAATCATATTGTGGACCAGGAACTAGGATGGATTCGCCAGCTTAATAAGGGCTCCACGCTGGCTTTTGGATTAGAAGTGGCACATTCCACATGGAGGATCCTGGATTTGCGAAGAGAAAAACTGGAGTTTCAGAACCACGCCTCTAGAACAGGAATTTTAATAGGAGCACACATAGCATCGGTGTTCGTGGCAGATGTTAGTGATCAGCCTGAACTCGACTTCAGAATCACTCTCAGCACGACACGGCCAGTGGGCCACATTTGGCACCGCAGTTGAAATTTGGCGTCCAGATAGTAAACACAAGTATCTGCGTGCTTGTTGAGCAAATCCGTGTGAGACCCAAAACAAGAAACAGCAAGCACAGGTGCTCTAGTGATCCGTGGATGTTGAACTTGCAAGGGTCTAAGATTGCCCACATCCGGTGAGGAGGAACCTGGAAGGAAATCCAAGTGACACAGGATTTTGGTAGTGTGGGGGGAAGACAGCTTTAACACCACAAAGGGAACCATAGCCAGACATACAATTACAGCTACTAGTAATAAAAGTCCTTCAAATTATTCTACTCCCCAACATTATTTTATTTTAAATCTAAAATATAGGATATAATAACTAAGGAGATCCAATTACTTCCGATAGGATTGATGCTGAAATCAGTCAATTGAAATAACAGAGCCGGCAAAATCAGGTCAGAGGGCACAGTGCGATGAGGTGACACTCGTGTGGCCTCGGGTTAGTGAGGCTTCCCACCGAGTAATTGGCACAGGAAATCATTGTAGCTTCTTCTGTTTATCGATTAGACACATGATGGATCATCTGTCCTGCATCACGGCGATTCCCACCACTCATTTATGAATTCCCAAATATTTGTTAACTGCTGCCAGTTGTAGACTTTGCAAATATGTGACATATATAAGGTAACATAAGATAATGGCGTCAGATGATTTCCACATCCTCTGGAGTAGATTTTTTTAACGTCATATATATGTGTTATATGCACCATTTAACTTCACAATTAATTTGTGCAATTCAGTGATTTTTTAGCAAATTTACAGAATTGTGCGACCATCACCACAGTTCAGTTTTGGAATGCTTCCATCACCCCAAAGAGATCCACCGGGTGCCCATTTTTTGGTCACTCACTATTTTCACCCCTAACCCGACATCACTGATCTCCTTTCTGTCTCTATAGTCCCGCCTCTTCTGGATGTTTCCTATCAATGGAATCATACAGTATGTGGCCTTTTGTGACTGGCTTCTTCCACTTAGCATTAAGTTTTGGGGGTTTGCCCACCTTGTGGCGTGTGTCAGCACCCATTCCTTTGTTGCTGAGTAGTGTCAAATGCATGGATATACACACCACATTTTTTTAATGATTTACTAGTTGACGGACATTTGGATTGCTTTTTCTTAGACTCTTACAAAGAATGCCGTTGTGAGTGTTCACGTACAAATCTTTCTGTGCCTCTGTGTGTTTATTTCTCTTGGGTGTGTACCTGGGAGTCGAATTGCTGGGTTGTAAGATAACTTACAGATACCTTTTTAATAAACCATAGAAACTGCTTTCCAAACTGTCTGTACCCATTTACATCCCCTCCACCCATGTAGCCCTCAGTTGGATTTTAAAATCAAATATGTGATTGGAAGAGATGAGTTAGTTTTTTAATTAATTTTTTTACCTAGCCGAGTATCAAACAGAAAACAGGGTTAAACAAATATTCATTATCAAGTGATTTCACTCTTTTCCCCTCTGTCCCTGAGGGATGAGCAGAGCCTTACACTACGATGACCTTAGGTTCCAGAACCCTTTGTTACCATGGAGATTACTGTTGAAAATGTTCATCTCCAATGAAGTTTTGTCAGGGATTAGTCGTACCAAGAAGAATAAATGATCGTATGTGCCATTTTAAGTGAGCAATGAGAATGGGCACGGTGTGATGCACTTAGATATAGAAATACCCTACGGAAGTATATCTGTTTCTCCTAGGAGTCCAGAGGAAATGCAAGGGTGGATAAACAAAATCAACTGCGTTGCAGCTGTGTTTTCTGCACCACCATTTCCAGCAGCCATTGGGTCTCAGAAGAAGTTCAGTCGCCCGCTTCTGCCTGCCACTACAACAAAACTGTCTCAGGTACGTGCTTCGACCTTGGAAACATTCGTATCTGAATATTGCTCCATATTTGGGGGGCAGGGGTGAGACCTTGCCCTGGAAGGGCATATTGTTTAAATGGGTCAAAATGAAGTATACTGGGTTTTACACTTCACTTAGGAAGCTGATACAACTGAGTCGAGGACACATACTTGGAATTAGTTTCTAAAATTTGTTAGTTTACCACTCAATCAGTCATACAAGCCTGGTCTTTTTGGTTTGGTTTGTACTTACAGCTCATATTTTTCAACGAACTAGCTAATGTTGGACATCCTGGCTTGGAAACCAGCTTTTTTTATACATTCTCTCCATTGTTTGAATTGAGGTTTCCCCATATCCCAGGCTGTATTTGAATGCTAAGTATTATAACAGTATTCCCAGGGACTCCCTGTTCCCTTGGGCAGAGCTAAGTGCGCTGTGTGGGTTTGCCCAGCTAACCAGGACAAAGTGCTAGAACTCTGTTCCGGATGTCCTCCTGTAGCTTCTCTCCCTTTTCAGACTGACCTCTCTAATGATCGTACGTTACCGCGTCCCTCTCCTACTCAAAACTCTGCGCTGAGAACACTGCACGCAACCCAGGTTTGCCAAACTTTAAACCTGGCTGCGCCAACTATTGCCATTGCCTAGTTAGTGATTTGGGAATCAACTTCGATGTCTTCTGTGAATTTCTTGTTGGTACAATAATAGAAATAGTTCCATCTGGCTTTCATCAGCCAGGTCTTGATATTAACTGGCGCCTCTACACATTTGATATCATAATTATCAATGACACGTTTATTCGATACGTGTGTATTATGTGCCTGTTGTACTTCAGAGACTGTTTTAGGCTCTGGAGATAGAAAGGCACATGAAACCCAGGTGCTGAGATTGGCAAATACAAACGGGCAAGTCTTTGTAACTCAGCTGGACTAGAGGCACAGGAAGGGTAAGTCCAGAGTGCGGTGGGGTATAAAAAAGGGACATCTCTCCTGGCCTTGGACGTGGAGGCGGACGTGTGATATCGATTATGAAGCTTAAAGGGTGCGCAGCAGGTAGGTGTGGGGGGGAGAGAGAATGATCTAGCAGAGGATCGAAAAGACCCAGAGGAGAAAGCCCTGGGATGCAGGAACCACACATATGTTACCAAGTGTGATTTGGTGCAGAGTGTTGAGAAAAGGCAAGAAACAGTCCTCGAAGGGATCAAAGGCCAGATGAAAGGTTTTGTGTGTCCCGAGTGGGATTCGGATGCTTCACTAGTTCCCCAGCATCCTCGGGATAACAGGGTGAAAGCAGCAAAGTAACGTGAGGAAACGTGTGCTTTAAAAATCATTCTTGTTCCAATAGGGAGGAAGTGTCAGAGAAGGGAACTACCAGAAGCAGAAAGGTCAAATGTTTTTAATTTTTTTTTATTTTTTTTATTTTAAAGAGAGTGAAGGGGGTAGGACATCGATTTGGTGTTCCACTTATTTATGCATTCATTGGTTGATTCTTGTATGTGCCTTTATCGGGGATCAAACCCACAACCTTGGCATATGGACCAACTGAGCTACCTGGCCAGGGCAGAGAGGCTGATTTCAAAGGCACTTCAGTAACGCAGAGGGAAATAACTAAGTCAGCTGTGGAAGAGCTGGATGGAAGTGGCCGTACTTGAGAGATCTGGCGGGTATAGAAGGGATCACCCTATGGCTCATTGAAGTGGCGGAATAAGGGCTGTCACCTGGGCTTGAGAAGCTGGGGACCGTGGTGTCTGACCTGGCCTCTGGGACCTCGCGTTCTCCTGGTCTCCCTCCTGTCGCTTCTTCCCTGGGTCCTTCTCTTTCTGACTCCACGTTGTAGTGCCTGGTGCTCAGACACAGGTCAAAACAGACACTTTGACTTCTTAAGTTGAGAAAAAAACAGAGGGAGTGTTGTGTCAAGAAAAGAGAGAAAAATCAAGTAAAATTAGGATAAAACCATATCCTGCGAAGTGGCGAGGGGGTCATTGGGTCCCTTGGTGAGAGCAGGATGGGGCGATGGGAGGGGAAGCCAGGTTAGCCTTCCTCAAGGAAGAAAGGAAAGGTGGCAGGGGCGCGGGGGAAGGGAATGTGTGTAAGTCTTGCCAGAAGTTTCTAAAAACAGCCTGGCGGGAAGAAGAGGGGAGACGTGGCGTCAGGAAAGTTTCTTTTGTGTGTATAAATTCATAATCATCATTAACATGAATTGGATGCTCACCATGTAAGCCGTTGCTGGTGTGATGTGGCTCATAGGCCACCGAGAAAACTGGTAGGAACAGAGACGACTAAGCCAGCTCACTTTACAAGGCAGAAGGGCACTTAGTTTTCAAGGGCAATAACTACGCTAAGAAAAAAGGAAGGCTTTGCCTCTTATTGATGACCAGAGAATATAACGGCAGACTTCTCCATCTAGCCAAAATGTGGACTCTCAAAGCAAATGTAGTTCCCCACTTTAGTCTGGATATTTAACGTCATTTTAACATAACCATGTTTAACATCAACAACGAACCACATTACCTAAGGAAAGAGGCGAAAAAACAATTGAACAACTAGAGGGAAACAAATACCGTCAGAGGTTGGGTTTCCTATTAATTTCACTAGAGATTTCCCAGTAGTTATTTTTCAACAGATTGGTCTTTCTCAGAGTTACTCCTATGTAAGATTCAGGGCAAAAGGTGAGCTGAAGTTAAGGCGCAACATTAGTCAGCACAGAGCAACATAAGAGTTTCTACTTGTTCTGTCCTCACTATAGACTATATTTCTATTTCCTTTCCACTTTGGAAGATGTACTGCTATCCCATTTGTGTGGGGGCTGTGCGTTCGTAATCGCTTGTACGTGAAAATGAACGTGTTCGTCTGCTTGTGTCTTTTTACCATGAGACCGGGCAAGCAAGCGCCTTTATCAAGGCAGATTCTCTAATTTAAATAAATCTCCTAACAGTGGGATGCATGAAAGTTTTATATATTTTCTCATTTTGAACATAAATCCACAGAAGTGCAGAAAATGCATATATAATGCGACCAAAATGATGAATTCAAGATTTTAAATAAGAAAGCCATAACCAAAAAGCAGTATCCTCTTGTGTCACGTAAGGCACGATAACCAAGCCCCTTCAGGAATCCAGTTTCTTGGTAAAATAAGATGACTTCGTTCCCTACAAATAAATCACCAAACTTTTGTGGGCCTCAGTTTCCCACCTGGAGAATGAGATCATTCTGGAAGGTTTTTAAGGTTCAGTCACTAGCTGGTTTTGGTTTTTTATTTTGGTTTTTGCCCAGGCCATCGTGTTTATTAAAAAATGAAAAAGATGTTCCCCTTTGAGAGTAAAAGGACAATTTAGAAACAAATATGTAAAACCAAGCATGTGATAAAGAGCAGGTTAGAGAGAGGGGAAGAAGAGGTGGGTCGGGTGGCACCCAGCCTGGTGCGGGGCTTTGGGACACCCTCCGCTTCAGCCGCCTGCTGGAGTCCTAGGGCTCCATCAGTGGATCCCAGAAGGTGTCTGGATGCCACGAGGTCCTCAGTACCTTGAAGACCGGTCATCATTCTGCAGCCCAGGCGTTCTCAACCTCCGCACTGCTGGCATTTTGCCCTGGAGAATCTTTGCTGAAGGGTGAATGCTAGGATGTTTAGCAATATCCCCAGCCTCTACCCACTGGATGCCAGTATCACCCCCCAGCTGTGACCACGAGAAATGTCTTCAGACATTACCAAATGTCTGTGGGGCCAAAGTCCACCCCTGCTATTGAGAACCACTGCCTGAACCCAGCCACCTTCCCTTTCTCCATACGCCCACAGCGCGGCTCTGACTTCCCTAAATGCCAGGACCCCTGGGGTAATTTCAATTTACAAAATACATGTGCAACATTGTGAGTGCCCTGCTGGAAAAAAAAAAAAAAAAATTAAACAGTGTTAGGAAAAAACTAAACAGTCAATTAAAAGATTGTTTGGTGCTTTCAAGACACAGTGTTCATCACCCTGTCATTGGCAAGCTTTTCTTTCGTTTATTCTTGTCTTCTATCCAAAACATGTTAGCCTTCGTTATTAAAGTTGACCGCTGTCAGTGCAGCGTGGCTCTTTCCGAACAACTCTGCTGTGTGGGAGGAGTCACCTTCCTTTGTTTCTCACAGCAGCGTTGCCAGAGTGCATGCTCNTTCTCACAGCAGCGTTGCTTCTGTTGGGGTTGGAGAGCCCCGTTTGAACATGTAAGTTTTGTTTCTCCCCCTGGTGTGGCACTACGAACAGGATTTCACAGCTGGCCCTCTCCGGGAGCTACTCAGGACCTCCCTCCCTTTCTACTCATCATTTTCAGACTTGAGTGTGCACAGGATTGACATAAGTAGGCCTTGCACCTACCCACCAGAATCGTAAAAGTGTATGCAGAGGCCTTGCCTGGGTTCCGTCACACATGCCATCCAGGAGGTCTCAGCAGCACCTGCTCTCTCAAGGCTGTGTGCTGGGGTGGTTTCTAGTGTGTGGAAGGCAAGCTGAAAGCACATTCCAGGCACGGGGGAGGGGGGGCCAGGAGCCTCTGATTGCCTGGGCCGAGCTCAAGGGTCAGCCAGCAGTCACATCCTCCTGATGACCTCTCCAGCAGGCAGGCATTGGGAGGGATTTCAGAGGAGGGGGTCATTCTTATAGTCGTCTCACTGGCCAGAGCCACTCCCTTCCCGCCTGTTCAATTTCATACTTTCAGTCACAAGTCTTGTCACCTCTTCTTTAAATACCTTCCATATCCTACCCACTTTCCTTAATTCAGACATTTGTCATCTTTCACCTAGATCCCTGGTCTCCTGACTTTTTTAATCACTCATTTTATCAGTACTAAGTATTTGAGCAGGTATCCTACAGTGTATGTATTATTTCTATAAAATGCATTGCATGTTCTGCGATCAGTACGACACGAAAAATGCTGAACATCATTAGTCATTCGGTAAATAGAGTACAAATCAAAACCCTGAGATGCCACTTTACATTCATTAGGGTGGCTACCATTTTTTTTTATATCT